ACCAGATGAGAGTGCCATCCCATTTATTGCGCATAGAAGACCAAGTCACGGCACTGCTTTTGCAGAAACAATGTATAGACGTGGATCTCTTCCCTCTGGTATCCTTAAAAAGCGTATAGGACCGCTTGGCGAAAAAGTAACTACCACATCTTCCAAGGATGTGACGTGTCTGGAATGTCGGATAGATCTACGGTCATATCCAAAAGGCTATGAAATGACATGTCATTTGTGGGACATGTCTGAATTTAAACGTGATATGACGGGCAAGTTGACTGTACTGGTAACAGAGCCGCCTCTATCCAATTTAATGAATAGCAGTGATGGTAAGAAGCACAATAAGCATACGATCCTCATAACTGCAGACATCACCCTTTCGGATGCCACTCTTGAACTTGAGTTTGAATTGGTACCAGCTGGTGATGAGTCTATCCAAAGGAGAGGCACTCGCCTAACGGTGTCTGGCGTTCTGGGCGAAGAAGATAACAAGGATTGGGATGGGATTATGCTGATGAATGGTAAGGAGTTAAGCTTAGGTAAAGAGACGGTATTGGATTATGTACAAGAATACGACATTGATCGCGAGGATGAAGCAAGACCATCTATCGGCTATCCTATATTGGAATCAAAAACAGTGGTTGAAGAGCCAATTTCTTTGGACAACCAAACACAAGATGAAAAAGAAGACGGTGAGGAGGAAAATAAAGATGCTGAAGAGAAGGTGGGTGGTATACAGTATATAGGCGGAGGCGTAGTAGCCACTGCCATAGGCAATGTCTCTGCTGGAGTAAATGTAGGTTTGGCATATTGTAAAACTTAGGATGTCTATTCTGATAAACTCCATAGAACTTGAGCGCCCGAATGATGATCCCATTTAGAGCAGCTTCACAAACATTTTTATCAAAGGATGAAACTCCCAAAGAAGAATCATCCACATCAAACCTTATTCACAACCAATCGGATACAGATAATGATGACAATGATGAAAGCGGCGAAACTCTTAGAGAAAATACAGATTCATTGCATGAAGTACGCGTACTACGTAAATCATCAGACACTATGAAGAAAGGCATGCTCTTGATGTTTATTTGCTGCGGACTCTCGATTGTATTGGCATTGTTATTACTGCAATTCATGTTGGAAAGATACTATACATCATTTACAGTATCTTCAACACTTAGCTCACTTGATGAATCGATCGAAAAGGGCGTTGTACATAGATTAATACAAATACCTTGGTTTGGTGGCTGGAATATCCAACTAATTGCAATTAGACCTAATATAAATAAATGATAATTTTGTTTTTTTTTTTTTCTTTTTTTTTCTTTTCATATTAAAACACTATAATGGCAGCAATACCTGCTGATTTTGATTTCGAGAGCTATATTAACAACTATCAAGGTAATAAGACTCACCTTTATTACACGCGCTCTTTGTCTAAGTAATAGCAATAATATAGGCTATACACGTATTTCAAGAGCTCTGTTCATTGCAAAACAATGTGAACCTCTTGCAGTAGAAGCTTATAAATTTGCCCTTGATGAATTCAAGGCAACAACACTCAACACCTCGAAATACATGACCACTGTCGATGCCCTTAATACTGTTTTACATCGATTGGGGCAACCTTTGTTTACTCCTGATCTAGATTGGGTGAATAATACAACACAGTCAAACAAAACTATCCTTGATAATCTTGAAAATGACCTAAAGTCTGCAAAGGCCAACGTGCTGAAAGAAGAAATTAGAGCAAGTATTTTTCAGTCGTCTTGTAGCTTAGTACTTGTTTACTAACATGCCCTCTGTTTACATATAATAGCTGGCTCATATCAAGTTGGGTGAATACTATTATAAAAAGGGTGATATCCCGTCAGCCATAAAGAATTACATCCGCACACGTGATTACTGTTCTCAAAGCGAACACATCATTGAAATGTGTTTTGACAATATCAAGGTCTATTTTGATGAAGGTAACTATTCACCCGTCATCCAAACATATATTGCACGTGCAGAAGCAACACCCAACATACCCGACAAAGTAAACACTACCTCCAAATTAAAGTGTTGTCGAGCATTGGCCTTCCTTGGAGGTTCAGATTCCAACAAGTATCGCACTGTCGCCAATACATTAACTGAAGTTGTCTTTGACTCGAATCCATTCTTTAATGATGTCATGTCACCCAACGATGTTGCAATCTATGGAGGCTTGTGTGGATTAGTCTCGTATGATAGACGCCAGCTTCAAACCAACATACTTAATAACGCCAATTTCAAGAACTTTTTAAGTTTGGAACCTGGATTATATGAGCTTGTTGAGGCATTTTACCATTCCAAATATGCAATCTGCTTGGGATTGCTTGAAAAGTACAAAAACAACATGTTGTTGGATATTCATCTTCAACCCCACGTCCAGACACTTGTTCAGCTGGTGCGTGAAAAGGCCATTGTTCAATATTGTATTCCTTATTCTACAGTTGATATGAGAAAGATGGCTATATCATTTAATATGAGTGTGGATCAGTTGGAAGATGATTTAGTGACATTGATTGGTAAAAAGGAAAAGATTGCTGCTCGTATTGATAGTCATGAAAAGGTAATAGTTATACAATGGATAATAACTTTTATTGATGGTATTATTGTAAATAGATTTTACGTACAAAGAATCAAGAGAAGCGTAACCAGGCGTTTGAGCGTTCTCTTGTGACTGGTGATAACTTTGAAAAGTCGTCAAAGGCTTTACTGTTAAGATTGAACTTGCTGAAGGCTAAGATGGTTGTCAATTAATCGTATTATATTAATATTGTACAAGAAATAAAAAGCCATTTACATATCTCGATAAGTTTCAATCAGTAGTCTTTATTAATGTGACTTATTTAGGTCTTGTATGATATAATCAACAGGCCGGGAAATCCCAAACTCCTTTCTTTCTGTGTATGATAATACCATTAATAATACTATTTGTCATTTACTAGATTGAACAGAAAGGAAATATCATGCTCATTTAAGTTAATCCGTTTTTGTGTGCACACCTGAGTTTAAAAGAAACGGCGTATAAATATAAAAAGAAACTTTTGTTCTCTCATTTTTTCGTCTTTTCTCAAAGAAATGAGTTCAGAGGCTCCCATTAATGCTGCAAGTATAAAGGCTATTATTACTTTTAAAATGTTAAGCTGATTAATATCTAAAACAGGGTCATGCATTTGCCAATGCTGCAGAAGATTATGAAGAAAAAGAATTGTGGAAAGAAGCAGCAGAAGCTCACTCGAATGCAGCAGGTACTTTTGTTATTGCTATTATGATTTAGGAAATGAGATTAAAAAGGTTGTTTATTATTACCTTACAGCTCGTTTTGAAGTGGCAATATCTGATGCACTCGATAAAGAGGTAATTAAATTTGTATTTCAAAAGATACAAAGCAATGCGACTGATATGTGCAGATTCGTTTAGGCCATAAAAACACTTAAATTGCTTAGTGCCAATCATACTCGTAAAGCACAAGAGCTTGATCGAAAATTTCAACGAATACAAGCATCAGAACGTCAACAACAATTAGTCGATAGCAAAAACAGAGGTGGCCTATTAAACGCCTTACCTGACAAACAAAGAGCATCACCGACCGCAAGTCTCGTCTCACGCTTAGCTAATAAAAACATGTCTTATTTTAGTGAAGGATCTCAACAGCTTGGGGATGGCATCGGTGGTTCTTTTGCTTTACTATCAAATGTAATGAAAAGGATATTTGTTTATAAAATGAATTATATAAGAAGTTAAAAAAATCAAGATGAGATAGGATGGCACAGAAGTAGAAAACTCGGATCCATTCAATAAATTTTTAGAAGTAGTCGAAACACTGGTTCAGCAATTATCCAATCCAGCCGTTGCATTTGCTTCAGCTCCATTGAACGAGAATGATTATCCCCTTTCTTTACCGACTCAGGAAACACCAGAGGAGGATGAAGTAGAGGAAGAGAACAGCGATCCAAACCAGATGATGGAATCATATTACTTTGTGCCGGAGCCTAAAGGTTTTTATAATTCGGTGCAAAAGACTAACGAACAAAGGTACTTTTCTCTTTATTATTACTCCAATTTCAAAAGAGATTTATGCCAAATATCACAAGTAGAAATCAGCTAAATCTCAATGTTGAAAATGAAAAATTACGACAACAAATTGCACAATTAACAAAGAAAATTAAAATTTTGGAAAGGGTAAAGAAGACAAAAGAAGGATAGGAAAAGGAGCTCTAAATACTGAACATATTCATATAGACAGCTGAGGAAAGCAATATGCTTAAAAGTAGTATTTTACAGTTTCGAAATGACGTACATAAACAAGCAAAACGTATTATGCAATCTCAGCATGAATCAAGTATGAGATCCTCAGCAGTAGCACTAGGTAGTTCTCATGTCCCTGTACATAGTTCACTTCGTTATCCTATTGTTTCTGGGGGCAATGATCTAGGTAAACTCATCAATTTATTTATTTATTTATTTATTTATTGAAATAACATTTAAAAAAAAAAAAAAAAAAGTGACAAGACTTAAAGATTTGGAAGAAGAAAATCAACAACTTAAATTACAAAATGAAAAACAAAAAGTGGTTATGAACAAATACCGAGATCGATGGGAATCACTAAAGGAAAACGCAAAAAAGAGAAGATCGACTACTAAAGAAGACTCGGAAACCCAATTCTAAAACATCACAATAACATACAAAACAACTCATTCTAATAATAATAATAATACATCTTATTTAATAAATAAAAAAAGTATTTTCTACTATCAATTCTATTTGTATTTGGCAATTATAACAATGATAGAAGATACTTTTTAAAAAAAAAAACTATAAACGCATCCAAGAATCATAAGATATTAAAATCTCTTCTCAATCAATAATTATCAACGTCCAAAAACACGACAAAGTTATTTCCATGTCTAAAAAAGGAAATTTTTGAAAAAAAAATCGCGTCTTCATTTTGCAATTTTTTTTCGGAGAAAAAAGTGCTCCAGTAGCATAGTTGGTTAATGCGTAGTGCTTATAGTTTACAGCTATACCTGAGTCACGCTAAGATCGCGAGTTCGATCCTCGCCTGGAGCACACTTAATTTTATGCTGAATTTTTTTTTCGCTTGAAAGGTGTTTTTTTTCAATTAGGAACTAAATTTAGCTGTATATATCGATAATATCAGGTTTAAAAAATTATTTTATAATAAAAAAGTAGTTAAATATAAGATGGAAATGAATAAAATAATACAGTGGTATTTTAACACAGAAAAAATCAAAACTTTATTCCGATAAATAAAAGGTGTATATATATATATTTAATTCACTGCTTCTAGTTTAGCTACCTTAGGTAACCCAATATATGTAATTTGAAACGTAGGAATCAGCTGTTTATAAATATGTTTGCATTATTACTGTAACGTTTTTGGTTTTTTTAGCTAATAAAATATAATGTTAGGAGACTAATAAGTGGATGGGACAAAAGCTGTCTTTTTATTAAATGTTATTTTGATCTGTATTTATATGAACTGAGTTTAAAGTAGCACAAGTATCTAGTAATGTTATTGTAAGAACACCGGTAAGACCGTGTGTTGGATGTTCAGTGAGTGGAATCCGAAAGAGTGAGAATCGAAAGAGGTTGTGATAAGAGTTTAAAAAGTACTGCTATTATATGCCAAGGGAATTTCCTATTTTGAATATTCTATTTAATTTTCTATCCAAAATACATAGATATCTATAACCACTACCTGACCTGGTGTTGCTATCGTAGTACTATATGTACTTTGTTAGGCATGTTTTATTTTATGTTTGTTCGAAATAGACTAAAGAAAGACTGAGGCGAATGCGCATAGAAATGGAGATCTTGTACCATTTTTTAAATGATCAACTATTCAATAAGTCCAGTTTACTTTAGATATTTAACATTGGGAATCATTGCTGCTATTGAGCCTCCAAAGATCCTTTAGCATACCATAGTTTTATGGCATTTTTTTTTTAATTTACCGTTTTTTTACGAAACTAGTAGTTCATATATTTCGAAAGACCTATTTATTGCTACTACAAGCAAAAACAAACTCCCAAATAATGGTATAGAACAATTACTACTTAAAATGGTATTTCTAAAATGATGAAAGCAATAGAATGCCATGTTATCCTGTCGGTTTTCCATATAGAAGAGTGCTGACTTCCCCCAAATACTTCCAAATACAAGAGTGCTTTTGATCCAGCCTATCAAATCTCAAAGCGAAAAACAAGTCACTGTCCGAGGATGGACCACACACAGAAACATATTTACGTGTTCAAAAAAAAAAAAAACGTGTTTTTTCGTTTTTAATTCTCTATCATTTTTTCTCCTTTATTTATACAAATAGAATGTCCTTGGTTAATATTATAAACGTTCAAGTTTTAGATAACCCCACTGCATTCACAAACCCTTTCCAGTTTGAGATAACATTTGAGTGCAATGCTCCTTTAAAAGATGGTAAATAACAATAGCAATATATCATAAATGCACATATTCATCTTTATTCGTCAAACTAGATCTTGAATGGAGAATGATCTATGTTGGTGCAGCTGAAAGTTCAGAATATGATCAAGTACTTGATTCCATCATGGTTGGTCCTATTCCCGTTGGTGTAAATAAATTTGTCTTCTCTGTAAGTTTCATACATAAAAGAGAGAGTATCCATCATTCTAACCTGTCTTAATAAGGCTGATGCTCCTAAAATCGAATTATTACCCAAGAAAGATCTGTTGGAAGTTACTGTTGTTTTGCTTAGTTGTCTCTATAATGATAAGGAATTTGTTCGTGTCGGTTATTATGTGAACAATGAATATATTGATGAAGAATTGCGTGAGAACCCACCAGAGAACGTCATTATTGAAAAGTTACAGAGAAACATTTTGTCTGATAAACCAAAAGTGACAAGATATACAATTGATTGGTCCAATCCTCAGAATGAAGTACCTCAACAACAACAACCCGCAGCAGCAGATCAGGTAGGTTTAAATGGTGAAACAAGAGAGTGTGGGTAATATAGCTAATACACCGTGTATTTAGGATATGATGGTTCAGTAAGGACCTTTGAAGAAGTTAAAAACAGCAAACCCATTTTCCCTCTTATTATTATAATAAATAATAAATCTAACAAACGTGTACTTAATATAAATTTATAGAGACAACAATGGGCGTTTTTATTTAATATTAAAAATGGTAAATTAAAAAAAATTAATTAAATTGAGCAAGAGAGACTTGGTTGGGCTTCTTTTTTCCCATGGCGTCGCACAAAGTATCTAAGAACTGCGTACGATAGATATATTTTTGAGTGTATTCAATAGCACTGGGTTTGACACTCTCTTCATCATCCTCAGAGTCACTAAAGTCGCAGGAATATCCATTGGTTGCATAGCGTGCTCTTGTGTGTGCATTCTTGATGGAGAGATTCGAAAGTTGTTGAGACACTTTTTCCAAGTCCCGTGATTTAGATGTTAGTCCTCTTTCAATATCACGAATCATTCGATGCAAACTGTAGAGTGAGAGGTTACTATTATAATAGTGATAGGAAAGGTTAGCAAGTCATTCTTTGGTAATGATATCTAAACACATTACCTTGAATTGTTTGAATCATAAAGTTTATAGCGCTTTGTAAGTTCGTGTACTTTGAGCTCCAGCTGTTCAAGTAAGACTAGAGTGGCTGATGTGATGCCTTGTATTTCATGTAATGACTTCTTTGCTTCGTCGTTCAGTTCACGGGCATCCATTAAATCAATCAAACTACTACTAAGTTCTCGATCCATTAAATCCTCGATATTCTTTCGTTTTTGAATTACTAGAATCGAAATTAATACATATATACACACATATAAATAATTCTATTCTTACATTTGTCAAGATTTTCTGTGAGATTTACAAGTTGTTCTTTCATTTTTGTGACATGTGGTTCAGTCGCTGACATATTACTTTCTAAACCTTCCAAAATACTCTTAAAGACAGTTACATCGTTTAGATTCCATTCGGTTGCAGTTTTCAAGTCAGCAACAGTTTTTGAATTCAAGGCACGACTTGCTTTTTGTATTTGATCAGACACCCGCTTGAAGAGCAATTCATTCTTTTTTTTTTTTAAAAAAAAAAAAGAAAATATGTTGTGTTAACTGAAAGTGACCTCAAATCATTATAAACAATATATTATATCTTATTACCTCCTTTAATACATCTCCAGTCTTGAAATAACTTTGCTCAAACAGGAACGCAATGCCTTCTTTATCTGTAGATGTCGGTCCCTTTGCGGCTCCTGATGGTGCAGGAGCAGGAGTAGTACTCGTTGTTGTTTTATTTTCAATTTTTGTAGGTGTCGTAGCAGTAGATATTGTCTTCACAGCGGAAGATGTACCAACAGTAGAAGCCACACCCTTAGCCTCAGGAGATGAACTAGTAGTGTTGGATGCTGTTGGAGCTGGAAGAGTTGTTGAAATTTTAGCTAAGCTTTCAGTTTCACTTGTACCAGTTGCTATCGTGGTTGGAGCAGCTAGTTTTTCAGTGTCCTTTTTAGTCGCAGCGGCACCAAAAGATGTTGCTGATCCAAATGCTGGCGCAGCATTAGGATTCTTAGCACCTTCAACTGTATTCTTGGCTAGTGCACCAAAACCAGAAGTTGAGCCAAAACTTGGAGATGCACTGGGGTTGGCAGCACCAGGAACCGTATTCTTAGCCAGTGCACCAAAACCAGAAGTAGAGCCGAATGCAGGTGTTGAACTGGGTGCCGTAGCACCTGCCACAGTATTCTTAGCCAGTGCACCAAAACCAGAAGTAGAGCCGAATGCAGATGTTGAACTGGGTGCCGTAGCACCTGCCACAGTATTCTTTGCAAGTGCACCAAAACCAGAAGTTGAGCCAAAGCTTGGAGAGGAAGTGGGATTGGACGCGCCTGGTACAGTGTTTTTTGCGAGTGCACCAAAACCACCTCCACTTTCTAGAGCAGATGCTGTGTTTGGTGTAGAGGTATTAGGAGCGGCGCTCTTTGCGAGTGCACCAAAGCCACCTGTTGTTGATGCTGAAGGAGATCCTGAACTGGTAGAGGTTGTAGCAGTTTTTAGAGATCCAAAGGAAGTGTATCCAAAAGCAGGTGTAGTAGTGGAAGCACCAAAGGCTGGTTTAGTAGTGGATGTACCAAAAGAGGCAGATCCAAAAGAAGGTGTAGTAGTGGACATACCAAAAGTAGCTCCAAAAGCTGGTTTAGTGGTGGATGTACCAAACGAAGTGGAACCAAAAGCTGGCGTGGTAGTGGATGTGCCAAAAAACGACTTTGTAGTAGCAGTCTCTACATTTTTCTGAGGTGTATCTTCTTTCTTTGTCTCGGCTGATATGATACCACCAAAAGGGGTTGAAGGTTTTGCAGCAGCAGTAATACCGAAAGATGATTGACTACCGAATCCGACAGAACTAGTGGATCCAAAAGCAGGAGTGGAGCCAGTATTTAGTGTAGTTTTCATGCCCATGCTTGGAGCTGCTGGGAGCTTTTGAGTACTAGCCAGACTTGCAAAAGACCCTGATGAATTATTATTACTCATGGCAGCACCAAAAGAACCAAAGCCTGAACCAGACTGTGCAGCATTTGAGGTTGCTTTACCACTCAACAGATCTGAAAAAGATGAGCCTGAAGTGCTAGGCTGATTGAAACCAGATCCAAAAGCGGATGTGGTGGCTGGCTGAGAAGTACTCTTTGGGGGCTCTGATGAAGGAGGAGCATACGATTCACCTCTACGTGCCATTTCAACATTATAGCAGTGATATGCACCAATTTGTCCTTCGTCATTGATATAATAAAAGATAGGGAAAGGTTCCACGGGTTTATCATTTTCACTTGCATCAAAAGGAGCCAGCTTTTCGTCCGCAGCAAAATCAACAGCCAAACCAAGAGGATATGTATCTTGTGATTCATCAGTTAAGGGCAAAGTCGCAGTACCATTTTCAGGCAACATCCAAGTATTCCATTCTCCTTCCTCATTTTCACCCACTACTGATATTTCGTTTGAAGCAGAATTTGCAATAATGATGGCGTTGTTGATTTCCTTTCCCAAATGAGGTATAAGCTCAAT